TTTCGCAATATCATTAATTCGAGCTTTTTTGATTTGTCTTTCTATTTTACAGTTACAATAAAAAACAAATGAAAACCCATTTTTCAGCTTATCACATGTATGGTAAACGTATACGAATCCATCAGCCTTTGACACAAGTTTTATGATTCGATAAGCAATAAGTTTATTCAATTCATCTTCGTTACTTGTTTCAATGTGATCGATAAAAGAATTAAGAAAAACAGCGATGTCTATATTTAAAACTTGTGAGCATAGCTTTGCATTGTCAAAATCCTCATAAGGATCCAGAAAGTCTAATAAGACGTCGGTAAGTTGATCTTGGGTATAAGCGAGATTTTGGTGTCGTTTAATTTCTTTTTCAATATTTTCTTTTGCCTTATTCCGGTTTTTGTTACTAATCAAAGTTCTACACATGTTGCACGATGAAACAGTTTTTCTATTTTTCCAGTAAAGTTTTCCTTCATGTAACGACTTCTGCAGCGATCGCATTTTTTCTTTTCGTGATCAGTATCAGTCATGTTTGTAAGTTAAATAAAAAAAAAAGAAGTGCACAAGAAAGAAAAAGAATGCGAAAAAAGAAAAAAAGTGTACAAGAAAAAAGCGCACAAGAAAGAAAGAGACACAAAAAACCCAATCAATCTTTATATATCATTTTATTCAGTGATTAATTTAATGATTAACGTTAGAAAATGCATTGATTAATTTAATGAACACCCAATTTGATCACGTGATTTGCGAAATTTTTTTGACTGGTGATGCTAGTCTCATATGCATAAAATGGAACAAATTTCAAATGAGAGACAGAAAGGAAATTGATTCCCTATTTTTCCTCCTATCGATCTCGGCATTTGAAGAATCCAATCCTATGTGATTGATTCTTAATATCATTGTTTTTCTATTATAGCGCTTTGCACAAAGGTGTGACTCAATAATTTTCGTGATGATAGCTGGAAATTTCCGAAATTCTAATTGCCTGTTGATTATTTTTCAATCAACGTCTATATTTATTGAAATCTTTAAAATTGTCAGAAAATCAAAAATCGGCCAGAGTTTTTGCAGAGATCAGATCTTTTTGCAAACCGTCATAATAATCCGCTTGATGATCAAGTAATGTGTTATTTAAACGACTATAAAGATCAGTTGTATACATATTTAATTGCGTGTAATCATCGTAATCATTGTGGCAGTGCACAAAAATCTATTGTAAAACACCGGAGATTCTGTTCAAGACAAATTCCGGTGTAATTTGACAATCGGACATTTTCTTGCATCATAACAGACTGTTACTACTTCCGCCTATAGATTCTAAATTCCGTTTAATAGAAACATACCAGAAAAATGTCGGAATATGTCATGCCAAGATTTTGTGCGGGATTAGATAGGGAGAGCGTTATTAACCAATTTATAGGTTTCTCATTCAATTACTCAAATTATATATTTATCACATGACAGGAATTGAGTTTACACGCTCCATGTCAATTGCTTTTGATATACATGATTTTTGCTAGGAAAATCATGTCATGATTTTCTTAGCAAGATCCCAATATTATTGCAAATTTTTTAATTTAGCGTTAATTATTGTTTTGCACAACTCAGATCTGGGTTGTAAAATTACCGGCAATTTATCAAAAAAAGTACTGGTAAATTGCCAAAGTTCTATAACCCCTAGACCTGATTAATACGTTACCATTGTCGAATATGCTTGTTAATTTGCCCCCTCATCGTAAGTGGTACTCATTATACTTGCATCTATTTAACATAAGGCAAAATATGACACAAAAATGCATATTATATATGTTACCTAAATTACATATGCCAACGTGGTTCGTCTTTATGAGTAATAAATATATGTATGTGAAATTCGCCCAACAAATTGTTTTTTTAGGATAATCTTCGATGGATTTCTGTTTGATTACGATAAAATAACAGAAATATAAATGCATTTCAATAAATAGAACCCTTTTTTTTTACTAATTTAAAACATAATCAGAAATCATTATTATTATTATTGTTATTATTATTATTATTATTATTTGGCCCGTAAAAAATAATCACGCTGGAGGTCAGCATAAAAAGTAAACCGTAACCAGCCGTAATTTTTAGAATTTGGAACCGGTTTATTTTCATATATTAAATCTGGTTTTCATCCGGTTTAACATAAAAATAATCCGGTCCTAAATTTGTGTTAATAATATTTCCATTTATGTTCTATAGAATAAGTAACAAATATATCAACGGATTTTATTTTCGTGATTGTATAATAATATAGTTAAAAATTTTATAAATAAATATTATTAAAAACGAATAAAAACTTTTTAATGATAGTAAATATCGGGGTTTTTTTTCTAAAAATTTTTATAAGCTACATCAATAAACATATATGCTTAACCGATCGCTCAAAGTCGAAAAAGGTTATTGAATGAACGTGAATGGTCTAAAATATGCGTTAACACAAAATTCATAAAACAAGAGCATACATACATGAATATTTCGTGTATACATTGTGTGCATGAATGGTAACGGTTTACTTTGTACATATTTATTACTGCCGCATAAGTAATTTACAATCCAACCTTAAATAGTAATTTTTTATATTAATCTTCTGTCATCTTTCCAAAAAAATATAATTTTGTACAAAATTTTTTATACAGTAAAAATATTTTTTACAATAAATATGTTCAAAACATAATACAGGTGATGACATATAAAAACAACCAATTGAGCAATTGTCGACTCGTTCTTTTCGACCCACTTCTTTAGAAAATGTATACTCCTTTAATGAGGGTATGATATCATCTAAAACTAGAGATAGTCTAGCGGTAGAAGTTGTTGGCTTTGCCATATACATTTGCCCGTCCGACCCTCAAACCTTCCTTGCAGGCAAATTCCCTAAAATACGACTAAATGAGACCAAAACTCATTAGTCTCATCGTCTTCTTAGTCTTATTTTTAGTGGTCGGAGAGAATGGTAAGACTCTTTTGCTTTTTAATTTTATTCAAAAAAACCCCAATTATTTATAAAGAGTTAAAGGTTTATAGTTTTACTTATCTAGGGTTCATATACGCTTATTCTATAATACGGAGATCGACAGGGCCAAGTTTATCTAGTTATGAATTAAGTAATTTAGAAAAGCGGATGAATGGTGTTGTTGGTATGTATCTTTATTACTAATATATTAAATGTAATAAACCATAAAAATACTCATTTTTATTCTGTTAAAGGTCAAAGTAAGAGAGATGTTAAGACATCAACAACACCACGTAAGAATTTTATTCATTATTTCATTAATTAATTGCCGTAAAAGCGCATATACAAGATCTCCCAAATAGTAGTCTCACCATGAATTAGGAGCCGCGGAATCTTTATTAATCAAATTCGGGGAGTTGTTTTAATTAGCTAGACTTCTATTATAAGTACAAAGCATATATGCACTTTAAATTTTTTCTTTTCACAACGTAACCTCTATTAAAGAGTTTTAAAATTAGTGGAATGAAATAGACCTGGATCTTGTATATGCATTTTTACGGTAATTCATTTATTCATTGAATTTAAGTTTAAATTGAAAATTAACAATCGATTATCGTTATATGGAAAATTGGGTAAATAAGCAGATGGTGTCCATCCGACTATACAAAGAGATTCATTAAAAAAGGGCTCGATAGAGTCGGGCACCTCTAAAAGTAATATAACAACAATAAATAAAAATACAAAAATATTACGTACCAATGCCCCTTCTCCCACAACCACTAAAGCCACTGTACCTGAAAATAAAGTGAACGATTACGTGAGAGCTCGAGCAGCCTTACCACAAGTTGACAATCAACCACAAAGTAACCCTAACAGCTTACCTGAATCATCCGATAGAACAAAAGACAACTCGAAAACTGATAAAAAAACTGATAATAAACAAACTGACAATAATTCATCTAATAACCCATCAACTCCCGTCGATATTCCACCACCAATTGACATGCCGATATCAACAGACAATTCGCAGCATGACAGCAATCCACAATCTGACACCAAGCCACAGCCTGACACCAATCCACAACCTAAAATACCTGATACCACCAATTCAAAACCTGACACCACCAATTCAAAACCTGACACCACTAATCCACAATCTGACACTAAACCACAATCTGACACTAATCCACAGCCTGACACCAATCAACAACCTGACGGCCAACAAAATACACCAACTGATAATAAACCAACTGATAATAAACCACCCGATGTCGCAACCCCTCCGAATGATGGCAACTCGACTACCCCCAACGTGCCTAACATCCCAATGCCCAACGTGCCAGTTTCTAATGATACGACACCTTCTAATGATAACCCAAATTCAATCCCTATGCCAGACATACCAATATCTACTGGTGCACCAGATCCTAATTCACAACCGATACGTGCTGTCTCACAAGTGCCAGATCAGCCCTCACCAGCACCAGCTCAGCAGCCAGATCAGCAGCCAGCTCTACCCCCACCACCGCCAGCTCAGCCCACACCAGCTCAGCAGCCAAATCAGCAGCCAGATCAGCAGCCAGCTCTACCCCCACCACCAGCTCAGCCCACACCAGCTCAGCAGCCAAATCAGCAGCCAGCTCAGCCCTCAGTTGCTATGCCAAATATACCAATACCTTCTGGTGCAGCAGATCCTAATTCGCAACCGATACGTGCTGTCTCACAAGCGCCAGATCAGCCAGCCCAGCCTTCAATTCCACCTTTACCAAACATTCCTACTAACGTACAAGCACCAGCAGCAGTTTCTAATCCACCGATACGTGCTGTCTCAGATGTACCAAATCAGATTCCTTCAAACTTACCAAATGCTATTCCTACACAAATTATACCCAATCCTACCGCGGCACCAG